ATGCGTGACACATGGGAAATATGCAGAAGCACTTCTGCATACTACATGTGTAGTTGATTATTTTTTTGAGTTCAGTTAGCTGCTTTTTAAATGGAATACCATTTTTACTCGTAAGAATGACTACAGACAAACTATGGTTATTCAGCTTGGATATTTGGCAGACATTTTTTTTGGAAATGAATGAAGTGAACTTGTCATTTAATGGAAAACAGTTGACAATATTTTTGCCCAGAGTAAAATTTAAGCTTTTCAAGTGAAAATTCCAATTTAGGAAACTTGTATTCACCACTGTGTGCTTTGACAGATTTAAGGAATTTCTGATAAGGTCATTGGTGATTGTATCGATGTGATTCCTTTTTCTATACTATATGGCAGTGGTCCCCAACCTTTTTGGCACCAGGGACTGGTTTCGTGAAAGACAACTTTTCCACGGACCAGAGTGGCAGGAGGTGGTTTTGGAATGATTCAAGCGCATTACATTTATTGTGCATTTTGTTCCTGTTATTATTACATTGTAATACATAATGAAATAATTATACAACTCACTATAATGCAGAATCAGTGCGAGCCCTGAGCTTGTTTTCCTGCAACTAGACGGTCTTATCTGGGGGTGATGCGAGACAGTGACAGCCTAAGTGTGTTCTTATGTCCAGTCTACTCCATAATCTCGTTTTGGTTGCTGTCATTGCAGAAAATCCTGCTTTACAAAGATAGAATGTTGGAAATGGAAACAGGCTTTTCAGTGCTTTTGTGGCAAGCTCAGGATATTCCACCTTGACTTTAATCCAGAACGTATGGAGGTTTGCAGTTGTCTCAAATATACTTTTAAGGCCACAGTCATTTGCGATCTCAGATCCTTTTCTAGCACGGACAAAGTCGATTCACCTGGCTATTCCCCAATGGGTTGCAGATCCATTCCTTCCCAGTTTGGGGATCTTTTGTGATTGGGAAGTAATGCTCAAACTCTTTTGAAAGCTGAGATAAGTGATCATGCACCAGCTAGGAGAAAGAAGGCCTGACTCAGTCTCTTTCAAAATCTCTGCTAATGTTTGAAACATGTCAAAAATTCCAGTGTTCATTTATCACCCTCATAATTCCAATTTGGCTTTGAATGTAAGCCAGTTTATCTGCTGACTTGAACACAGTTGTCATTCTCCCTTGAAATGACTTGAGTTGGTTAAGCAGTTTGAATATGTCACACAAGTCAGCAAGTTTTGTGACTCATTCTGTGTCACTGAAATTTGCTGCCAGCAGTGACTTTTTCCAAAAGAAATGTCTGGAGTGGTTCTCAGTAACTCAGAAACTCTGGCCAGTGATCTACCTTTAGAAAGCCATCTCACATCTGTGTAGAAGAGAAGACGTGTGCTCTGCGTCCATCTCCTCAGAGAGCTGCACGAACAGATGTGAGTTAAGGGCCTGTACTTTAATGTGGTGGATAATTTTAATCACATCCTGCAAAGCGTTAAGTTCAGGTGACATTTTTCAACTAGCTAGCATTTCTCTATGGGTGACACAGTGTGTAGACTCACATTCAGAGGTGACCTCTTTGACTTGAGTAGTGGAACCAGAAAGCCGTCCGGTCATGGCAGCCACTTCATCTGAGCATATACTGACACAAAATGACCAATTCAGTTTTCCTGATACATAATCATTCAAAGACTGGGATAGTTCTGCAGCTGTGGTGTGGGCTGGCAACAAAAGTGTACACAGCATATCCTCATGCACATCCTCCTGAAAAATATATCACACAAAAACAAGCATGTTGCCTTGTTGTCAATGTTGGTAGACTCGTCATTCTGGATTGCGTACCACAGTGACTCATTAATCTTCTCTAACAGTTGTGCCTCAATACCCTCTGCTATTTCATCAGTTCCTCTAGTTATGGTGCTAGCTGAAAGAGGAACAGTGCTGCCTTTTGAACAGCAGCTTCTCCTAAAAGTTCACTACAAATGTCCTTAGCAGCAGGCAGGATCAACTCTTCACCAATAGTAAAGGGCTTCTTAGCATTTAGCAATGCAGTTAGACACTAAGAATGATGCTCTCAGTGCAGACACATTTGATGAAGTGGTGGCCTTTAATAATTGCTTCTATTTTTCATGTTCACACTTTTTTCTTTTGAAAAACTCCAGAGACTTGTCTTTTAATGCAGGTGCTTGGTTTCCATGTGACGAAGCAGTTTTGACGGATTCATGGCTTTGTTGGATAGCCGGTCACCACATATTATACAAAGTGGGCTTGGAGAATGTGAATCACCTGTTGCAGTGAACCTGTAATTTAAGTAGGACTCTTGGTATTTTCTTTTTAATGCAGCTGTCTTTTTGTTGGCAGTCTTACTCTGCTGTCTCACCATTGGGTCTTTCTCCTTTTCAAAGAAGCTTCCCAGTGATATTTGTTTTTTACTCATCTAGCTAGGGTTAGTTTGTGGCTGAGATAAGTGCACAGTGCGGGAAGGAGGCACGGATGAAAGTGGTAAATAAAATAATGCATGGGCTACACATAGACTAAAATAACTGTTGGATTCTGACTTAAAGCCTGCCACCAGATACAGCTTAATTGTCACTTGCCACTCACTACAGATTTTTGATATGTCTGCAAGCAATTGATTTATTATGGTCTCTGTGCAGTCAAACCTCTTTGCTAATGTTAATCTGTATTTGCAGCTGCTCCCCAGCACTAGCAACACCGCCTCAGCTCCACCTCAGATTATCAGACATTAGATTCTCATAAGGAACGTGCAACCTAGATCCCTCACATGTGCAGTTCACAATAGGGTTTGCTCTCTTATTCTAATGCCTGATGATCTGACGTGGAGCTGAAGCAGTGATGCTGGCTAGCACTGGGGAGTGGCTACAAATACAGATGAAGCTTCACTGGCTCGCCCACTGCTCACCACCTTGCTGTGCAGCCCAGTTCCTAACAGGCCAAGTACTGGTAACAGGTCGTGGCTAGTGGGTTTGGGTCCCCTGCTACATGATGGAGTGTATCGACATTTAGAAGATAAGTCAGTGAACCATTATTTTCCAAAATATTTGAAAATATCTGATACTATAAAATCATTCATGAGTAAAATATTCATTAACCGTGGGAGATAGACCAGTGGATTTTAATGTAACAGAATACAACAAGTTCATTGATACAGTTTCTACATTCTAACTAACCTTTAAGAAACTATTACTTATCAAGTTTTGGTGTGTTATCAAAGCATATATCCACAATTATCTCAAAAAGCTATTAAAATATTCCTTTTCCCAACTATACACCTCTGAGGCCTAATTTTCTTAATATGTATAAAAGAAATCCGTTTCCCTGTTTACAACACTTCTGATACCAAATGTGCGTGTTTCCTATACCACGCAATTCTTCAGTTCTCTGTGAACAGTAATTGGGCATCATATAGTTTAATTCATTCTGACATTACTTGGAGCTAGTGCAGACCCCACAGGTTAAGGGCTCAGTCTCAGAAGACTGCCCCCACCACCACTTCAGATGCCAGTTGCAAGTTCTAAGTTGTTACCTGTAATTCTTGCCACCCAGCTATAAATCAGGGGTTCTCACAACCCATTCCTCTTGTTCAGTAATTTGCTATAATGGCTCATAGAACTTAGGGAAACACTTTACTTATGTTTACTGGTTTATTTTAAAGGATATTATAAAGTACACAAATGAAAAACCAGATGAAGAGGTACAGACGGCAAGATCCAGAAGGGTTTTATGTATAGGAGCTTCTATCTCTGTGGAGTTTGGGTGTGCTACCCTTCTGGTACACGGATGCATTTACCAACACGGAAACTCTGAACTACTTCATTGAGGGTTTTTATGGTTCTACTATATGAGCATGATTAATTAAATCATTGACCATTAGTGAATAATTTGATGATTCCCAGCTCCTCTACTTTCCTAAGAGGTCAGGAAGTAGGGCTGAAAGTTCCAATGCTTTAATCACATGATTGGTTCCTCTAGCAACCAGCCTTCATTCTGCCAGTCACCTCATTACTGTAAACTTCCCTATGGTTGAATTGTAAGGGGTTTAAAGGGGCTTGAAAGGGGCTTATAAATAACAGAAGATGCTTATATCGCCCCTACCACTCAGGAAATTCCCAGGGTTTTAGAAGCTCTGTGCCAGGAACCAGGATGAAGACTATATATTTATATTTTTCTTATTATATCTTATATATTGTGAAGTATATCACAATAAACTTCAACCAAGACAAAATAGCACAGCAGATTGAATACTTAAGCAGATATGAGAGTCCAATAGTTTGCTATTGACAAATGTAAAATAATGACCTCACTAATTTTTTCAGTTAGCAAAATAGTTATTTTCTATTTAAAAATTTTGTTTATGTTAACTTCTAACAGATTTAATATTGTTAATAATTTTTTTCATTTTAACTTCTAATAACTTAATATCTATAAATAAAACTCACATAAACAGAAGCTCTTTAGCGTCCTCAGTAATTTTTAAGATTTCAAAGTCCTGAGACCAAAAAGTTTGAGATTCATTGTTTTAACCTAGGTTTTGAAGGTCGAATAAATGTAGTATTCATGAATGTGAAAACATTTTGTAAAATATTTAAAACTTAAATTTATAAATAATTTTTGGGCTCCTATTGTTATATTGCTATGCACATCCTTCAAGTTTGGACTTTGAAGCAGAGACGTGGAAAGAAAACATGCATAAATTATTGCTATTAGCTTAGGCGAGGAGTGGAGGGGGTAATTCACATATAACTCTGCTGTTCTATAAACCAAACAGTGAAAAAGCAATAGAATGATGAGGCTTGTTTTGTTCCAAATATATGTACACACACACACACACACACACACACACACACGCACGTTTATAATTACAAATACAAATATATATTTGTACGTATGTGTGTGCACACATCTATGTGCTTGGGCACACAGCAAACTAAACCTTGCTATTCAGGAACATAGTCCATTACTAGGTCAAGTTGTGTTTTGATTTTTGAAGTTGTCCCCTTCTTCCTTTGCAGGTATAGAACAAGATGCAGTGAATACTTTTACCAAATATATATCTCCAGATGCTGCTAAACCAATACCAATAACAGAAGCAATGAGAAATGACATCATAGGTAAGCAGTGCTTGAAGCTTTGACAAAATAAAATGCCTATTTTTGGTTACTAATTTAAGAGAATTTTTTATGAACATGGAATTTAATATATCCTTTCCTAATCTATTTTCAGAGTACTTTATTACATATGATTGTAGTTCACTTACGAACTTTTTCTCATATATTGGACCCAAATTCTTAGACTTTGACTTGAATAACAATAGCAGAAAGAGCAGTAATAGCACACATTTAGTGAGTACTTCCCAGGTCCCAGACAATATTCTAAGCTGTTTCCATGAATAAACTCATTTAACCTTCCAAAGAACCTTGCAGCATGAATACGGTTATTATTTTATATGACAAAACTGAAGCACAGAGAGGGTTAATAATTTGTCCAATGTAACACAGCTCAGAAATGGCAGTCAGGATTTGAAATCAGACCCCTACACACTAGCATGCTACTTGGCAATCTCTTTTGTCCTCATCCCCCTGCCCAAAAAATGCTAGAATAGAAAAATCAAAGTGCTAGTAATAAGAGTCAACAAACATTTCAGGAAATTATTACCATCGTATATACATATATGTATGTGTATACTGAGTCACAAATATATTTCTGTGTAAATATAGTAAAATAAAAAGGTTGAAAGCTTTAACTGTTGCATCAGAAAGACCTTGGGTGCACCTGTAATCACAGATAAAATGTATCTGTTGAACAAATATTGTCGTTAAGTCTTAGTTCTAAGTTTTATATTTTTATTACAAAAATTTAGTATTTTTGACATATGAAATATAGCATGTTATTCTACTCCTAGCAGATTCTTTCCAGCATGGGGTTCTTTCAGTCTTTACTGCACTCATAGGAGACAGTGAAACCGCCTCCATTCTCAGCTGTGGTTCTTAAATTCGCTCACCATGCTTTATAACAGTGAACAACTAATTGTTGGCTATTTTGGGGTCCATCAGATGCTGCCCCCATTGTTTTCCTTTTCTTTCTCTCACACAGATACCTATAACACATAGGTCTTACTGACTCTTGGTGGTTTGTCCTTATCTGCTTGTATTTTGGGAGTTTTACCAAGTTTTGTTGCAAATTTTGTTGTGGGTTTTTGATTTTTCTATGTTGTTCCTCTATTTTTTTTATGTGAGAATTTGTTGCTACCATCTTCCAGACTTCCCTAGACTGAATGTTCTTAATAATACAACTGGCGTGTACTAACTGATTAGAATTTGGCTATTTGAGGAATTGGTTGGCTAGTGATTCCTTTGGGCATTTGTTTGTACCTCTTGGTAACCAAATTGGGGTAGGGGAGAAAAGGAGAGAGTTTTGAGCCAAATAATTTATTTAAGAATGAAATGTGACTGCAATTCTAATTTTCCTTTTCTTATATTTTGTCAAATTAATGATATAATTCCATGAGGGGAAAAATATTATGAAGGATCAAGTTGATAAGATTTAGTGATCAAGAGATCCAAGAAAATTTCTATCCCATTGTCTATTATTACGCATTTTAAAATGTTAATTACCTCTATGTCTTTACCAGTCACTTCTCCTCTTTGAGCCTCATTCTTCTGAATCCTGCTTTAATTATTTGTCTCCTATTACAGTGGTAACATTTTAATATAGCTGTACTTTAAGTGAGTTACAGTTTGAAGAGGTCTCCACTTTAGCTATTTTTATTCTGTATCCCTCTTGCCTAGTTTTATCGTAAATGTTATTCGTGTGTTTTCGGTGTTGCTGTCTACTTACTGTTTTTATGTGAGGATTCAGAATGACCCTAAAACTATGCTTCTACTCCCTCTTCCTTCTTCTGCAAATCCTTGAAGTGGTGAAATTTTAAAAATACTTTGCAGGTACAACTGACAGAATTCTGTTGGTGGCTTGGAAGTTAGTGGTGTGAGAGGAAAAAAAGGAATCAAGCATGACTGAATACCTGGAAGAGTGAAATTACCAATTATAAGATAAGGAGGATTTTGAGTGTAATGGCTTATGGGGAAAATCAAGAGTTTGGGTTTTAGACATCCAAATGGTGAATGTCAAGTAGGCAGTCGGACATTTGCTTTAGGAGTTGATGAGAGATGTATAGGTTGGAGATACATGTTTGGAAGTCATCAGCTTATAGATGGGTTTAGAGTCATGAAACTGGATTACAATGGGAATGAGTGTAATATGTGAAAGCAAGAGGTCTAAAGACTGAATTCTGGGGCTGGCCTAACATTTAGAAGTCTGTCAGTTGAGGAAGAACTGGCAAAGGAGACTTAAAAGTAACAGCCAGTAGTAGTAATGTAGGCCTTCCTATATCACTATGTATCAAGAAGCCAAGTGAAAAATGTTTCTGGGAGGAAGGGAGTGATTAAAGATGTTAAATCATGCTGAAAGGGTTAAATAAGATGAATAGTAGGAATGGAATGAATTTGGCAACCTGATGGGCATCTGGGCCACTGGTCATCTTAATTACAGTGGACTTTCAAGGACAAGAACTTAATTGGAATCTTAAGAGAGAATAGGAGGAGAATGAAGACAGCAGGTATGGGCAAAGCATTTTGCACTAAAGATGAGCTGGAAGGGGATGTTAAAGGACAGTGGTTTTTGTTTTTAGGGTGACATGTTATAAACATATAAGGTGTATAATAGCATACAAACAAGTATATATGCACAGTGTACAAAAAGCGTATAAAGCTGGTGAGAGTAAGGCAATAGTAAAAAATTTAATGCAGGAGAAGGGGACAACTTCTATAAGAAAGAAGTCTTGAGGGAAAAGAGGATGGGCTCATTGCTCAAATAGAGGGTTGTTCAGGTAGGAGCAAGGACAGTTCATCTGTATAACAGGAGAGAGTGCAGAGTACATGGGTAGAGATGCAGGTGGGTTGGTAGATATGGTGGGAAGTGATAGAAGTAATTTTCTGATAGCTTCTATTGTCTTAGTGAAGTAGGAAGCAAAGTCATCAGCAAAGAGAACAGAACGTTTAAGAAGGGAGGAGAAGATATGCCATGTGTTGTCTAGAAAAATGTCAGAGTAAATGGACCAGGAAACTATAGTAGGATTCTTAGGTTTCATTAATGTCCCATTAAGGTCATGAACTTAAAGTGAAACCGATTATTATGGTTGTATGGTTTTTTCTAGTCGTGTTTACTAGTTTAACAGCTTGTTGATGTCTTACAGTGACTTTAGGCAATTTTTAATTTTAGCACATTTTATGTTTTAAAATTCCTATTGAATAACATTTTGATAAAATTTTTTACAGATAAACCTTTTCATAAATCTATAATTCTTTAGGTTACAGTCCTAGAAATAGAATTGCTGATTGAAAGGGTATGTTCATTTTGAAAGCTTATGCTAGAAACTGTAAAATGTCCTTCTAGAAAGATACATCAGTTTATATTCCAACTAACACTAGTGTCAATTTTCCCATGCCCTTGCTCAAGTGTATATATCGTTAAACAATAAGAAATATGGATTGTTAAAACACTTTTATGCTAATTTCCTAGACAAAAGTTGGAATGTCTTATTCTAATCTATAATTATATTTACTTATTTGTTCTTTTGTGAATTATCTTTTCATATTTGCTCATTTTTCTTTCAGGATATTTCTTGTTAGTTTGTAAGAACTCTTGATATATGAATAATAATCTGTCATATATAGAGTAAACTGTCATACATGCTGCAAATTTTTTTATCCTAATTTGCCTTTTCATTTGGTTTTTGGGGTGTTTTACTGTATAGAAATAATTTATGCTAAAACTTTTGGTTTCTCCTTTTGCATGTATGCTTACAAAGACTTTCTCTACCTCAAAATCAGCTGTTCACCTGTGTTTTCTCTTAGTTCCATTTAAAACCTAATTTACATGCCTTTACAGTTATTTCCTATTTTCATTCACAAATGTGTACATTTTCTATCAATAGAAATTTAATTATTTACTATTTCTTTAATTATTTAATTATTTACCAGCAAAGATTTGTGGAGAAGATGGACAGGTGGACCCCAACTGTTTTGTTTTGGCACAGTCCATAGTCTTTAGTGCAATGGAGCAAGAGTAAGTTAATTTCATAATTTCACATTTTGTATTCTTGAGAATTTGTGTTCAGTGTTAGGAATGGGCTTCATTCAAATAAAAACAAACTGTCTTTGAGGATTTAAGTATTTCGAAAGTTTACAGGATCTCAGGCATACTCAGGCTGTCTTGGTTAATGATTTCTTTTAAATGTAAATTGAGAACTCTATTAAAAATAAAACAAGTTTTTATTTTGAATCTTTTTTTATTTTGAATCTTAATATTTCCTAAGTTAAAATAATTTGTTTTTAATTCTGAAGTCATTTGGGTATAATTGTGACTATTAGAATTGGTTTATTGATTTAAAACAGTGCATGTCTTCAGATGAATATCCTAATTTGTTAGTGCATGCTTTAAGCTTAATGCATGCCATATTACTAAATCTACATAGATTTGTTGAACTGCCTTCAAGTGGTTTTTTTTTTTTTATTAATTACTGCTGCATGCCCTTAAAAAATCTACATATGTATTCTTTCATTTAACATTTATGAAAAGGGTGCTTTGTGCAAAGCACTCTTAGATATAGGTCCTGCCTTGAAGTTATAGCCTAATAAGAGAAATAGGGCATGCTCTTTTGTTACTGTAATATACGGTAGGATGTGTTAAATATCAGAGGAGATTTACAAAGTCATTATGAGGTGGGAGAGATTACAACATGTTGACCAAGCTTTTAAGAAACAATAAACACAATATGGAAAGAGTATATTTTTCCCAGTTAA